AATGATTCAATTTCTCCTTCACCTTAAGCTTCCATAATTTGTCCCAAAATCCATTAACAGCTGCACATCCATCAATTCTTCTCTCATATCCCAACGATCTAGTAGCTCTTTGCAACCACTCAAGGGCAACCCTGTATACAGACTTCATCGTAAAACTTCCATCAGTTGAGAAGTGCCAAACTTTTTTATCCCTGATAATAGTTTCACTTAATGGAATTGACAAAATTTTCTTAGACTCTTCTTGAGAAAAAAACTGAGAAATAAGCACAATATTCCAAGATTTTGAATAAGGATCCACCAAGTCCTAAACTATGCGCACATTACACCCCGTAGGACAAGGTGAATAAATTTTAAAACCTGAAGAATTTGGAATCCATGGATCAGTCCATACCTGCACTGCAGTCCCTGTACCTACTCGCCACCTCAAGCCTCTCTGCACAACCTCTTTGGATGAACATATGCTCTTCCAAACCCAACTTGAATTACCTCTTATTTTAGCTTCTAAAAAAGAATTGTGAGGGTAATACTTTCCTTTGTAAATTCTTGAGAGTAGACTACTATCCTCCACCGCTAGCCGCCATCCCTGTTTAGCTAAAAGTGCAATATTAAAAGCTCCGAGATCTCTAAAACCCAAGCCACCCTCTTGCTCATTCCTGCACAACTGTTCCCATTTTAACCAGTACAAGTTCCGTCCTTCCTTAGACCTAGACCACCAAAAGTGCATAACTTTATTAATCAAACTTTTGAAAACTCCCACAGGAAGCCTGAAACAACTCATGGGATACATAGGAAGGGTTTGAAGAACAAACTTAATAAGAGTCTTCCCAGCAGTAGAAAAGAAACAATCTTTCCACCCCTTTATCTTATCAACCATTCTGTCTTCAAGATATTTGAAAATCTGTTTTTTGGATCGACCAATCTCAGCTAGCAGCCCCAAATACCTGTCAAGCCTTCCCCCTATGACAACTCCCAACCTTCTACTCAAATCTTCCCTCTCATCAACCAGGACATTAGCACTAAAAATAATGGACGATTTTGAGTAATTGATTTGTTGTCTTATTAATCTCTCATACCTGATCAACAACTGTTTCAATACATTTAGTCCCCTGTCATTTGCTCTACAAAACACCAAAGAATCATTAGCAAATAGCAAATAAGATACAATTGGCCCTCTATTCATTCGAATCCCAGAGAAGTGTCTATCAGCCGCTGCCTTATTAATTAACTTGGTAAGTCCCTCTGCATATAACAGGAATAAGTAAGGTGATAAAGGATCACCTTGTCTAATCCCTCTAGATGGTACAAAGAGATCCACTGCACTACCATTCAACAAAATAGAGTAGGAGATAGTACAAACAGTTTCCATAACCACTGTAATCCACTTGTCATCAAAACCCAATTTATCCAACACTTTGCGTAAATAAGTCCACTCCATCCTATCATAAGCCTTCGCCATGTCCAACTTCACTACCATGAATTTATTTTTCCTTCCAGTCCTGGTTTTCAAAAAATGAACTCCCTCGTATGCAATAAGTATATTATCCGTTATTAATCTCACTGACACAAATGCACTTTGCTCTTCACTAATAATACTAGCTAACAAAGGTTTTAAGCGATTAGGTAATATTTTAGTAAAGAGCCTCATTACCACATTGCACATTGAGATGGGTCGAAATTGAGCTATGTTAGTAGGTACTCTCACCTTCGGAATCAACACAACATTGGTGGCATTTAGGCTTTTCAAAAGCTGACCATGCTCTAAAAAATCATTAAAAGAACTTATAAGATCTCCCTTTATCACATCCCAGTGTTGCTGGTAGAAAATTGGTGTAACTTCACCAGGTCCTGGTGCTTTGAGTGGAGCCATTTCCATTAGAGCTTGATGCACTTCCCCCTCAGTAGCCTTCTGCATTAACTTCTGGTTCATCTCAGTAGGAACCATTGGTTCCCACAAATTCCAGAAAGCCTTATCATCAATAGATCCTGCAGAAGTAAACAAATTGTGGAAATAATTCTCTGCTTCCCCTCTAATTGCTTGATCATCATCCAACCAATTTCCTTGGAAGTCCTCTAGTCCTTTTATCATATTTCGATTTCTCCTACTCATGGTAACAATATAAAATTTTTTTGAGTTTCTATCACCATGTAACAACCACTCCTTCCGAGATTTTTGGCGCCAATACAACTCCTCATTTCTCCATTCTGCATTTATCTTCTTCTGGACTTGATCGCATGCATTTGCAGAGTAATTGTCCTCATTCTCTCTTACCCCTTTCAATTGAGCTTCCAACTGTTGAATTTGCAGGTGTAAGTTCCATTTCTTCTGTTTACTCCACCGCACAAGGTCTCTTTTACACCTTTTAATTTTTCCTTCAAACAAAATTGCGAGGTACCATACCCTTCAAATTGCCAAGCCTTTTCAACAACGGAAGCACATTCCTCATCCTGAACCCACCTCGCGTCAAACATGAAACTTTTCCTCTTCGAGCCTTTTTTTAAAAACAAATCTAACAAGATAATTGCATGGTCAGACCCAACAACATGGAGGTGTTGAACAACAGCCGTTGAAAATTGAATTCGCCAATCCACAGTAGCTAGAATCCGATCCAACATTTCCATTACATTCGCCTCCGCATCCTTATTGTTACACCATGTAAAAGGATAACCCGACGTAGTTCAGAGAAGTGTCTATTTAAGTAATTTTAACTTCTAATTATATTTTATTATTATTATATAAATAATATTGAGAGGTATTTTTGTATATTTATCTATCCCTCCAACAAGTAATCCTTATTTATTATTTTCACGCTTTTAAAATTACGAAGGGTTATCTCATCAGCCCTTAATAAATCAATAATGTCGGCCTATGCATACTTGGTAGCCATGGTTTGTCTTCACACTACCGACTTCTCTTGTTGCCATGAAATGATTGGAGAGGTTTTCTCATATTCACAAGTCAATTAATAAACAAAGGATACACCTAAAAGTAATAAGTATAGTAGTAACAATTTTCACATGTACTGATGTAACATGACAATTGATATTCCTAACATTTGACTTGCACTACTTAGGAATTACTGTTGAACCATTTTAAAAGTATTCCTATTTTAAAATTTTGTTTTTAAATGTGTTTAGTAGTAAGAAATAAATAAATAAATAAGAGTTTAAAACGGTTGAGATTTTTATAACTTTTAAAACTGAGTGCTTAATAGAAATTTTATATTTTTTGAAACTATTTTTTTTCTTGTACAATTTTATCTGTCTTACTATTTTCAAACATAAGCAATTCCATTCAAAGACATTATTGTGAAACCAATATTTAGTAGTGTTTCTAAACAATATTGTTACTAAAAACAATTTTATGACAACCTTACTAATTAAAAAACACAGTTTTCATTAAAACAACAGCGCATCCATCAACTATTCATAGTTCATATTACATTTTGGAATCACCGAAACCTAGATTGTGTCGTATTTCCGCATTTACATCGACCAAACATCACCTAAACCTCGTATTTCCACACCTCCATAAACGAAACGTTAATGACTAATTTTTCCACGGTCAAAGTAGTCTAATGACATCTAGTGATACAAGTCTCAAGTCCTTAGATGGCTTTAACAAATAAAAAAATCAGCCGACACCGTTGTTTTTCAGTAGTGAAAAAATTATTATATAAATCGAGATTATACAAGTACTAGTCAATCATAATTCTAACATATAAAAAATTTGAGATTATATAATATTGATCAATCACAATTTAACATTTAAAAAATTTGAGATTATATAGTACTAGTCAATCACAATTCAACATACAGAAAAAATGGAAAAATTATACGTAGGTAAAGTTAGGAGCCCTAAATAACAAATCGATCAGTTTTTAAAATTAATTTTCTATTTTGGTTGGATTAAGCAAAATAATTACAAATACATCAATATTTATTGCTTTGGTCCAAAATATCCTCATACGCATATTTCAAAATATCAAAATATCTTTCTTAAAATTATATAATTTTAATATAATAAAATAAATAATTAAAAATTAGTTTGACTAACGAATAGTAATTCTTTATTACTCATATTCATCGTGGACCAACCACCAAAGTCGAGCGCACCACCCACCTTGTAGGTTTTCTAAGTCCTCTCTCTCTCTCTCTCTCTCTCTCTTTCTATTCACACACATATATAAATATAAATATATAATCATTTTTGTTCACAAGTTTTAGATCTATGACTATTTAGGCTTTAGAAGTATGTTGTAACTTATGAAATTAGGGTTGTCGTAGAGGGTTATCAATTTGGCATCTAAAATTTTTTTGATTGAAGAAGAAAACAAACAACAACTAGAGATCTCTAAACAATCAAAAAAAGGCAAATGGATATTCCAATACTTCATATTACCCTATGAGGAAGGAAAAAGAAAGAGTAATGATTTGTTGCACCGAATGTTTCTGATTGATTATTTATGCATAATACATGTAAGTGGAAAGCCCCACTTATTTATTTATGCGATTTGTTGTAATGAATTGTCAGACCTATTTATTTTAATGAGTCCATTTATGCATAAATAAAGAAGTAGAACCCTCTACTTACATGTACCATGCATAAATAATCAATCAGTGCAACAATTCGGTGCAAGTATCATTACTCTTTTTTTTTTCTGTTTTTTTTTTTATTTTTATTTGTACATCAAATCGATTTGATCCAGGACTACGTAAAAAATTCTCGTAAGGTTACCTACATGAAAGTTTCTAGTTGTAGAAGCTCGTCCCGCAATTTAGAGGCACTTGGAAATTTTCGTCTTCTACCGATGCACTTGGAAATAGTCCCCATCTTTCCAATGACTTGGTCAACCTGAAAATGGCTCAATCGCTCATAACGTGAGGACCGTTACCCATGAGGTAGAGTTGACACTCGCATTATTCTCTCTTTTCCAGTTGTTTTACAGTCAGATGAGATCGAGATCAGTATCAATTGTTAATGGCAAACATGAAGGCTGGTGTTTAGAAATTGGATTGTATTTATTACTAAAATATTGTAATTTACCCTATTAAACCCAAAAAAAAAAAAACTATATTAGGGTGCTAAATACATCAATTTTGGCTTTGACAACACAAATTCTCGTACAATTTAGTCCGCGCTTCATTTTAAGTCCTCTTTGTCTTCAAGGGACCGTTTGCGTGCTCTCAGATTCTGCTTCAGGCTTTCTGGTAGAGGAGGTGTCCTCCCTCGACGAAACAAAACCGCAAGAGCCCTCATTTTATGACAAATATCAAATACCTGCAGAGGAAATAGGGGTTTTTTTTCTTTTCATATAAAAGTTTTAGAAAGCATCAAGTAATGAGGCAAGCTTGAAGACACACTATGTTTTTCTTACCGAGGAGGCTTCCAACTCTGCAACACCTTCACAACCTTGACCTCCTCCCTCAAGTAGGTCGCAATATTTTGCAGCTTCGTTCTCATCTTCAAACACCTGTAACAAGAAAAGTGTTTCCAACTAAGAATCCAGCAGCGAAAACAAAAATATAGCATTAATATGCCTATTTTCAAATATTTAGACATTCCAGGAAGTTGAGTTTGAATATGTAAAAACGTATTAACAGGATTGTGCCCAGTTTCCATAGACAAACATTCAAAAGAAGAGTGCAAAAATATCATGTTTTCTCAGCCTTGACCTAATGCATATACAGACGTTTCAATAGCACGAGGCAACGTTTACAGTTCCATTGTTTCTGATGCCTTGACCTAACAAAGAGGTTAGCAAAATATCGTGTTTGCTCAGCCTTCTGCATTCTTGAGCTTCCCATTGTGTTAATAATCTAATGTTATGTACAAAGCTGTCATTGTAAATGAGGCCACTGCAGGAAATAACATCCATCAACACAAAGTGACAGCGAATATTTGAAGTCGTGGGCTCTTTAAACTAATCCCAACCATTAGTTCCTGATAGAAATTAATCCGCCCAAGTTCACAAACAAAAAATATGCCAAAAGAAAAATATGATGGAAATCACACATACACTAACTTTTATTAAAGGGTTAAACCCCCTCATAATATACAAAATGTGCATCTCAAAAAACACCCCCACATTTTTCAAGTTGAGCAAATAAGGACAATTCTTCAATTTGGTCAAAATTAAACTAAGAAATTACTAAAACACCCTTATAATATAATATATAAGAAAAACATATAGAATATTATCTCTCGTGGGATGATATAGTTTTTCCCCATTTTTATTGGACAAAAATAACATCAATAAAACATGCCACATCATTAAAAATTGTGGGCATCTATGTAATTTCAAAAACTATCCTTTCCACTTCTTTTAGGATCCGTGTTTTTGTCCACCGCACCATCATAACCTGCCCATTAGAATCAGTAATAGAAAAAAAAACTCACATTTAAATACTGTGAATTTGAAGCAAGAAAGACCAAGAAAACGACTTTTCTGGTAGTGGAACAAAAGGCAAGGCAAGGAATTGATAAGGATAAATTAATTTGGTTTTGGAAGTCAGTGGCCGCAGCACCACCATCCCATCCCATCCCATCTCATCCCCATAACCGCCACCGCCATCTCCACCCACAACCACAAGCAGCGCCACAACCCCCACGCCCACAACCACCACCATCTCCCAATCTAGTCAATTCCGACTGCGAACAACAGTGAGAGGCCTTGGCGGTGAGGACACGTTTTACCGCATCATTGCCAAGTGATCGATAGTGCAACAAATAGAAGTTCTAGATTAAACCATGCATGGTCATCAAACTATAGGATTGAAAACAAAGTGATATACACATACATATTATCAATAGATTCAATGGTAATTTACTTACACAAATATACATATATAGATATATATATATACCGTATATATATATATCATGAATAGTTGTGGATCTAAAGGATGGAATATCAAGTGTAATAATTAAATTGGATCTGTGAAACTACAGAGGAAGTCCTTGTGTTCTGTGCAGTGATTTTTATGGAGTAATAATCTCTGGTTTTAAAACGGTCTCTGGTTCGTCCTTGGATCATCCTATTAGGTTCAGCCGCGAAGAGGAGGTGATGTCGCTAACCAATGTTTATGCATAAGCACGTCACAAAGTAAAGATGGGGATGATTTTCACTTGTGTACTTTCAGATGCTTTGTTGAAGCACTGATACTTGACTTTAGAGAAATGCAGTCGCCGGAAAAAATGGGGGCAGTGGACTCATACACACATATATATATTATATAATATTAAAAAAAAATTCTTTGCTTACATAATCAGTGGGCATTTTGGGGTTTTTATAAAAAAATTGGTCAAAATTGACTACCAAGGGGCAATTTGCTCAAAAAATGAATAATATAGGGAGATATATACACTTTTTTTCTAATAGGGTTGTTTTTTTGCACATATTTTATATAGCGAGGGGTTTTTTTGCACTTAACCCTTTATTAAAAGATTAGAGAAGATTACAACACTCAACGGATTACCAAGAGTTATTCCACACTCACTCGCTTGAAGAAGACGCACTCTCTTCAAAAGGTATACACTCACTCTTACCCCACAATAATTTCTCTCCTCTCTCTTTACTTCACTCTATTTCTTCATTTGGCTCTTCACATACTTTTCTTCACTGCCATACACCTGTATTTATAGACGAGCTCTTACCAACAGTACAATTAACCAAGACCACCCTTGAAGCAACCTTAGCCAACAGGCAACAGATCATTAAATGCACTGTAAATACAAAGCTTTTTATTCTTTGTATTTCACTCTGACACCTTACTTTCTCGTTCAAAGTATGCAGTTACTTCCTCTGCACAAATACACCATTCATTGCTTACACATTCAATTAATACACATCCTGTAATACCCCTAATTTTAAAAGGATAGTTATGGTATTTTTAATTAAGTATTATGTTGCATTTTTAGTTATTTAATTATTTATTTGTGTGATATTTGAATTAATTGACTTTTTATTTGTTTAATTGAATACATGGACTTAATTGTCATTATTTGAATTGGTTGCATTAATTACATTATTGGATTTAACTTGTTTGATGGTGTGTCTTTAAGTGGTTTTTATAATTGTCTAATTATGTAATTAAGTTAAATAAGGTTTTTTTTTAATTACGTTATTTACTTACAGTCTTTTGGAAGTCACGTATGTAGAGCCGTAGATTATAACTTAGGTGCCGTAGATTATAACTTTATAACTTAGGTTTTGTTCTATGGGCCGACTAGGATTTAATTAGGGTTTTACTCTAATTATACATGGATTGGGGTTCTGTTTTAGCATATATATAGAATAGAAGGGTCTGCTAGGGTTAGCAAAACTCTTTTCACGTCCCTGGGATATTGAGAGAAAACAGAGTAAGGTTGTGAGAAGAACAGAGAGGGTACCGTCGGGGTTTCAGCTGTGGATCACCGGACGGACCTAAGAGAAAGGAAGGTGGAACAGTAGGAGGTTGAGTTGACAGTAGACAGACGTCGTCGGAAAAGCTTAGAAGGACGGTGACAAGGTTTTGGTTACAAAACTGTACAGGCAAATTCTATTCTGTCTTTCTCCCTTTGGCCTGTGTTCAGTGCATCATTAGATGATCTCTAGGATCTTAATTGGATATTAATTGAATATTACATGCTTAACAAATGATAAATTACTCGTCTGTATGTATTTAACTTAAATTGAAGTGGTTTCTGAAAGTTGAACTATATTGCCTTTTGTTAAAACGTAATTAAATCGGCAATGGTTATTATGGTTCTTTTTGATACAAATTGGTTGGAATGAATAACGGATATTATTGGATGCATATTAGACTCCTAAAGTCAACATAAATGAAGAACAGAGGGGTTGGAGTCAGCCGGAAACAATGCAGACGAAGCAAGAAGGAGCAGCGCTCTCAGAGAGGGGGAGAGAATCGGCTCCAGGAGTTGGGAGCCGGCTCCCCTCTTCACAGAGCCGGCTCCAAGGTTATGGGATCCGGCTCTAGGCTGGTTAGAGCCTGCTCCATGGTTTTAAGAGCAGGCTCTGTGATCTTGTGGTGTACTGGAGCTTGGTTGCGCACTGTTTGGTTCAAATTGGGTTGTTCAGAGTTGTGTTTGGGGCTATTGGGATGGTTTTAAACATTATTTCATGGAGTATTAAAGCCCTAGGATGCATTAATTTATTTATATGCTAATGTTTTTAAAAAAAAATAGGAAAGTCTAAGACAAGTCGTAGGCTGTTCATGGACGTAACGGATAGAAAGGATTTAATTGCTCAAACTGTGTTTAGCAATTAAATGGATTGAAACATGGATTCCAAACATTATACCATGCTATATTAGAGCCACATTTAAGAAACTAATGTCTTTGTGCTCATGGATTTAACCGTAGGAAAGTATTTAACGATGCAGACTGTTAACGAATGGAAGGAGTTTAATTGCCTAATTTAATTTTAGCAATTTAGCGGAATCTATAGTTGATTATAAATCTTATTTTGGTTGCATGCTAGGGTTATATATTTATTAAGTTTGATCTATGCATACCTTGGATGTTAATGGTTGAAAAACTAAATTCTTTTCTGCAATACATGGATTTAAGCTTGGGATTTTAATTGCTGTAATATTAAGCACTACTCTGCAATTATTTGAATTATGGTTTAGACTTAAATTGCTGAACTACTACTTAGGTTCTGTCAATCTTATGGTTGTTGGACTGGAGTTAACTGAAGAATTAATTATATATTTTCTGTCAATTAATTGGATAGATGCTGGATTTTAAATTGGCAAACAATTAAACTTGGTCTCATTAATTACATTGTTATTATTATGGATATTTAGTTGATGAACTATTTCAAATCTGTATTTATCAACTATGTAGATTAGATGGACTTTATTTGATGTAATGCTTAAAATGTTGCATCATTTACGGATCATTTGCATGGTATGCACCGGTATGGGACGGTGGCATACGGAGGGATAGATTAGGTCACAACGTTAATTCCTACCCATTCATACATACGGAATGGATTAACTAAAACAGTTAAATCCTACATAGTTTCATGTCCTGTCAACTAAAACAGTTGAACGACATATTGGATGGTTGTTTATATTTTTGTAATAGGAATGATAGGGATTTAATTAAAACATTTAAATCCTAATTATGTGTCGTGTCTGGACGACGAACAGTTGACCGACACAACATATTATTTGAAGGGAATTTATATACATATAATTTATGTTAGTCTGTGCGGCTGAACAAGCCGAACGACTAACTGGATTTTTTATAGATGGATAGGATCGGACTTTAAATATATATTTATGATACCGCGGTATGAGCTTGAGTCTCATGATCGTCGGTTAGGAAGTGTATATGCAGTAGGATGCGTAGCTGGCTATGCTGGTTGAGGTATACCCTGTTAGGCTTAGGTAGTCCTGCCCACTCAGGTGCGTTTTGCATATTGCCTTCTATTCAGGTTGAGACCCTCGTCATAGTCCAGTGAGAGTCCTGTAGTGTGGACATATATCTATTTACGGACTATATAGTTATGGTTGGGACATCTAGGATGTATCTGCGTATTGGGTCTCTATTTGGATTGTAGTTAGGATAGAACTTGTTCGTGGGCTTGACCCACTATTATTTTTCAGGTAATGGACGGTTCCAAGTCTTAGAGCGTGTTCGTGCTGAGCAGAGACAGCTACTTATTCCACCGACGACGTAGGAGGTTTCTTCATGGTTTAGCATTGGACTTCTTTTTGGTTGTTTTTTTTCCAGTGTTGGTTTTTATTAGGGGTCCACCAAATGGATTCCCGAGTTATATTAAAAATGGAGAAGTTGGATGTATCAGAATAATTTTTTTATTTATAAAATTTTATTCTGAGGTTTTAGTTTTGGATTATCTTCTTATTTTCTTTTCAGCAGTTTTATTTATTCCTGTTTATTTTAATTGTATTCTGTGTTCATTTATTGCTAATTGGTTTGATATCCTCGGGTAATCGAGCATAGGCCTGGCCAACCCGCATCCGGAAATCCGGGGGTATCACACAACCTCACTGCCATTGACCAAATATTGACTCACCATTCACCAGCACTCTATCACTAAGCCAATAAATTTGAGCCACCTCAACAGTCATTTTATTGCTCCAATAGATGACAAATTAGTAATTTTCAAATGCTATAAGCAATCTTAAAGGACACAAGCTATTTCCATGGGACAATCAATCCCAAAGTACGCTCAACCTAAATTAATTCAACTTTTTTTAGCCTTTGCATTACCAAAATGTCCCAAAGTATACTCAACCTTTCAGAAACTTAATTTAACTTTTTTGAGCCTTTCATTACCAAAATCCTTTTAAACATTTTTTCTTAATCTAGTGCCATTGTAATCTTAAATTCAAGGACCATCAAACACACAAACAGATGAGCAATTGACATTCACACCAACATTCAACTTTTTCCCTCTATTAAGATAATATTTGACTAAAAACTAATGAATTTTGAAACAACATTTCGACTCAAGGCTTATGTCTCAATCGTTTGGAGGTCCTAGGACCCTCCCTCAGACACCATAAAAAATATCATCTCAACACAACAGACAATGGAATATAATACGCAAGCAATTAAAGCAAGAGTACATTTAAGAACTTACAAGGACTCCCTCCCTGACATCCTCAACAAGCATCTGAAACTTTGTGCTAGTCCCCGACTGCTTGGCCTGATTTCCAATTCCAGATCTCCACTTCCCTCCTTTGGAAAACAATAACCCAAGCTCTCTTTCAACTTCACTGTCATGAAGAACATTCTATGAGCTTGGGTCATGTCTAATGTAACAATTACTCAAGAGAAACAAAATAAAAACAACATGAACCTGCGATTTCTTCGAGTTTTCATTGTGCATAATTGGTTTTCCCTTTGTGTTAGTACATATACAGGCTTTGGAGACTCTCTCCACGGGTTAGCCTCTAGCACTGAACAAGAAGAGAAAACAAGTATGTATTAGGCCTTGTCGAAAGAGAATGAACATGACATCCTGCAGCCAATGAGCACCCGGAAATTTTTAAAGATAATAGTTCACTAAAATATGTGAAATATACAGATTCCACCATGGAATTTACACAAACAATAACACACAGAAAGCATAGAAAAGAGAGGGCGAAAGTGAAGATTTTGCCAAAAAAGGAACAGAATCAACAGGAAAGACCGAGTGCTTAAGAGGCAACAATAGATACGTCTGAGTAATACTTCGTCATGTATTTGCATACTTGTTCCAACATTTATGCACATACTGTTGTCAAAACTTACAGATGTGAAACAGTGAAGGCTAGAGATTTACCAAGAAAATATTGCTGAAGGTGGTAAAAGGAAGCATTTTAGGATAAGGCCTGGACAACATCTTGACAAAAAGAAACGTGAAACCGACCATCTAACGAGTTGATTTCAGGACATAAAGGCCACAGCCATGAATCAGACACTCGTGCTCAAATTTTGGTCTATGAACCAGGACAGATTTATTTAGAGGTGGTAAAAGGCTAGATTTATGAATTCAATATTGTAAATGTACCAGATAACCTACTCATGCACAAATTTTGGTTACCAAAAACTGCTTTACTTTGCAGCCCTTTTATTGTGCTTCTAAGCAACAGGAACAAGCTGGGGGGTTGCCTCATCTTCAGGAGGAACATGCAATCAGTGTAATTGATTTATTTATTTATATATTTATTTTGGTGGATAAGAACATACATTAGAAATAATTAATCTTTTTTCTAAATACTGCAGATTTGTACTCTATATTAGTTTAATTAAAAATCCTTTTGCATAAAACAATTTAGAGGTTCAAACTTCTTCCTACTAATGTTTTAACATAAAGTCCATACATCTCTCCGGACAAAGGGATAGTTACAAATGGATTGCTTCACAAATCTATATTTTGGACGTGATTTTTAAGAAAGTGATAAGAAAAAAGAAATGACTTATTTCATAGAGTGATTAAAGCAACCTTTTCGGTCAGATAATTGGGTTCCTGTACGCACGTTAGCAAGTAATGATTAGTTTCTCAAAAGGCAATGAGTTTAAAATCACATTTTCTTAATGCCAGAACAAATGCCATTAACTATTAGCAACTCTTAAAGATGTTGGACAATAAACAAATTAGGGAAAAAGGCCACTAATTGGATGTAACTAAAATGGGATATGGACTGAGTGTCAATTGCAACCTACTCATGAGACAGACAGAAGAAATAAAAATAAATTTAAAAAATCGCAATTTTCAATAGTAAGACAGTATGAAGAGCAATCTTGGAATAATTTCCTAATAAACAGGAACATCCCCTTGCATCAATTATTTTTGCCAAAATAACTAGGGTGCATCGTTCACAGACATCCTAGAGACAAGCCTAACACTAGACACTCGTTTACATAAGTGGCTGCTCTCGTACTCAAACCCGCGCACTCAAAATTGTCAGCCACCCTTGTCAACCCTAGCCTGAGCTTTTATCATCGAACCAAGTAATAACCCTTTTTCCCCAAATGTAGGACTTCTCAAAATCAAAATAGCTTCATCCAAAGGCTTAATTAGCTTAGACAACAACTAATAACATCTAAGAACCTCAATATATTCTGAACTTGCATAGCAAATCTACACATTAACATAACTACATAAAGCATTATGAATCAAATGAGTAAAGCAAATAGTACAGGAACAACTACGAACCATCAATCAAAAGCTAAAAGCTTAAAAAAATTGACACAATTCCAAGAAACAAAAAAGGGAATCAAACAATACCACTACAAAAAGCACTATGAACCAAATGAGTAAAGCAAATGCTACCAGAACAAATACAAGCTCAAGCAAACCATCAATCAAAAGCCAAAGGCACAGAAATGGACGCAATTCCAAGAAACAAAAAGGAAATCAAACAATACCATCGTAGCTGCTGCTAGCAAATGATTGCTGGAGGTGTCTACGCATATCGTAAGCGCGGGACGAGACTCGCTTGACGAACTCATCCGAAGTGCCCGGAATCGTCCCGTCCAAGCGAAGTGCCCTCTCCAAATCCTCTTTCCTGTAGTCCTCGCCCTCACCCTCTCCATCTCCTTCTTGTTCTCCGGACACTCCTCGGGAGGCCGATTTGCAAGAGAATTCAGCGAGCCTCCTCCTGGGAGATTCAGGGGAGTAGGGGAGGCTAACGAAGGAGGAGAGAGAAGAGGGACGGTGGCGTATTAGGTGAGAGGAGACGGAGATTCGGCGACGGCGGTGGTGGCGGAGGGGATTACTGGGAGGGAGAACGAGAGAAGGCGAGACCGATGAGAGAGAATCCATTGAGAGGTGTTAAGTATGTCTTTGATATGATGGTGAAGGACAGAGCTATATTTCAATTATATATATATATATATATATTTTTATGTAGTTGGTGTGAGATAGAGAAATTGGAGATGGTGTGTGCGTGAAGGACTGAAAGAAGGAAGAGAGGTTGGAAGGAAGGAGAAGGAAATGGAGTTGCCTTTGTGAATCTCAGTTTACGCCGATATTTTTTCTTCGCCCCATGTGGGCCACGAGGAACTGAATCTGTAGAAGCGGACGAGTCACGAGTCAAACTCGGTGCCTCACAAATTGGAAGACTATTACTACGTATTAAAAATATTTTTGTTTTTGGAAAATTTAAAAATATACTCCTAACTCTTCGATACTAAGCGGGTGTTTGGAGTGCTTCTCTAAAAGTACTTTTATTTTAAAAAATTGCGGCGTAAAGTGTTTGGTGAAAAAAAAAAATTCTTAAAGATAATAGAGGTTAGGTTTAAAAAGCACGTTTACTTGAAGTTAAGAATCGTAGCTTTTAAAACTGTCTTACGGGTAGAGGTACGTGTTTTTATTAATACGATTTTATCCCTTTTAGGCTTCTAAAAACAAATAGTAAACAATGCGTGGGACTCTATAACAAACAAAGATCCTAATTTATTTTGGACTCTGTAATAAATAAAATATGTGATATTTAAAAAATATATAAACAAAATATGTGATCCTAGTTTATTTTGGACTCTGTAATAAACAAATAGAAAACAATGCGTGGACTTTGTAATAAACAAAATATGTGATATTTAAAAAATAAAAAAAAATACAAGTTCGTCTTTATAAATCATTCAACTCAATGAAATTTTATAATATTTAATATTAGGGAATTATCATATGTTTAATGTAATGGTAATATAGTAAAATTAGTAATAAAAGTGCTTTAAATAATATTATTACCAAACAATTTTAAAAGTGCTTCAAGTATAAAAAAGTGTTTTATACAATATAACAACTCCTACTTAACTACATTTTACTGACAGCACTTTTATAACAACTCTATTATTAAAAGCGCTTTTAACATTCTAACAGCAATCCCAAACTGGCTCAGTGTACTCATTTTTATTCTTATTCTTCCCAAAGTAAGTACTACATATTTCATTTGAAAAATGAATGTAGTAATTTTATTATTATTATTATTATTTGTAATGTTAATAATTTATTATTATTATTATTGTTTTGTTTTATTATTTATTTATTTATTTTTTGTGGTGGCAAAGGGCAATAGTCCTTTATTACCCAACATTTGACGGAAGGAAGCACACAAATTCCAGCTTTAAGTTTGTTTGAACTTATTCGTTGATCCCAAAATTGAGTTTGATTTTTATTAGAAGCTTATAACTTGAAACCACGTCTTCACTGCCATAGTCAGCGCCAATAGGAGCTTAATTAGACGTTCAAATTGTTTATGGAATACATGCTGTTTTTTATTAAATTTTTATTTTTAATCCTAACTATTCTATTTCAATCTCAACAAACTCAAGACCAATACTGTTTATCTGGATTGTTCTTTACCAGAGTCCTTGAATCACTTTCAGCCTCTGCTTAGATTCCATTGAATCACTTTTTGGAGAGATGTCCTTAGACTCATAGCCTCTGTCATTTTAAGATCAGAACAAGGTACATTCAATAAAATTAGATATGCAACCAACTTTATGTCCCCAACTCCCATGGTACAATATTAATACCAGTACGAACCATTTTCAGCCTTTAGATGAGAATTTAAATAAAAGAGAATTTAAATGGTTAATAAATTCATCAATTTGATCGAGTCTCCTTAAAATTTCAATACCGGATGAAATTCGTTTCTAAAGCCACTGGTCTGTAACTAGCAAGTAGCAACATACCATCATCGAAAACGAAGGAGAGATCATATCAATGGAGCATGCAATCTACACAAGGAAGTATAGATATTGCCTCAAAAAAGAGGAGAAGAAATGGCAGCTAGAGAACTGTCTCCTATAACCTATATCCACGACCTTGTCAATATTCGAAACGCTCTCCAACGTTGCTGGGTAGGTCGCATATGACCTGGGATCGTCAAAAATGACGAGGCATCTGGCACCCTGATCTAAAGTCCTGGCCTGCAAACTTCTTATCGAGGATCATCTGAGACAATTTATTCTCAACATGGTCTACAGGTGTTGGAGTTATGTTTCAAATTGATTTTATTAATTTATATTTGTGAAGACTTTAAGTATTTTATAAACGCTAAACTTAAAAGTTCTTCACCTGATACATTTAATCTACTTTAGTTAATATGTTATTTATGAACCTAATGAATATATGTTCATTAATACCAAGTTAATTACATTCCCACTTCTACTAGTATAAATAATAGCCGAATTCTACAATACATACACTCTCAATATAATTAAGAGAGAAAAAAAGATTTTTTCAAGATTTGAAAAAGTGTTTTCAAACTAGTGAGTTTGAGTGTGTGAGTTTCATACTTTCTGTTGATCGGACGGAGATAAATACCCAGGTTCATGAAGAAGAAGTACAACCTTCATGAACACACAGATTTGATATCTGAGCTTAGTTGAATCTATGAGATAGTGCTGTCATTTGTCTTCCGTTGCACGTGGGAGAGACTTCAAGAAGCTATTATGCGTCTCTAAATCTCAATACTCACCGTTTTAATATATCGGTTCCAATAACGGGTCAGCCAAATAAGCAACGTCGACCATCGAGAAAGGCTCGATCAACCTGCAAAGATCCAGATCCAATAGTGTGTCGTACTGGGAAGAGAGATGCATAGGGTCTTTCTCTAGTTGGGGAATTGACAAACACTATTTTTTTTTTTCGGAAGGTACAAACACTAATTTTGCGTGAGGTCTAATTTGTTTAAGCATATAATTTGTCCAACAAATTAAAAAGGATAATGTTTAACTACTCACTGGTGAGTAGGGTGAAGTTACTTACCCCTATATGGTCCAATAATAAAATAACAAATCACATTTAAAATAAAATAATCTACACCTAAAAACATTATATACAATTTATTCAATGATTGATCAGAGAAAGTAAAAAAAGGTATAAATTATTTTATTATTAAAGGTGATGTGTTAGTTTGTTATTAGATCACGTAGGAGTGGGTAACTTCACCTTACTCACTGATAAGTGGTTAAACATTATTTAATTAAAAATATATTTTTATATTCAAAAAGCACAAGTGAAGTAGATAGTTGTTGTGATTGGAAGGCATAGTTTTTAGTTGTAAAACATAGCATTCATTTTTTTTCTGTACAACAATCATGCCATCAACCTAAAGATCTCAACTTCTTTTTACCTAATCATTGTAAAGTCAGCCTTTAACTAATCATTGTAAGGTCAACATGAATTGAACTTAGTGATTTATATATAGGAAATAACCCAAAAAATAAATAAATAAATAAATAAAAAACACACAAACAGTACTACCAAAAAAGTAAAAAATAACTCCATAAATTATATCCGGTTACAAATCAAACTCTCAATTATACAACTATTGGAACACATTTTTTGTTCAAAATTATCAAAATATCCCCGCTTATTAATTTATATAAAAGTTATAAAATATAAGAAATGTACAATACTCAGAATACCTTTCAACGACTATCTTGCAACTAATAACCAATAGTTTTAGAGGGTTTTTTATTTTATTTTTTTTTGCAATTTTACCTAATAATAACAAACAATATCAATAATAATAATATTATTATCATTATTCTTAATATTAATAATAACTAATAATTCTAATATTATTATTATAATAACAATAATAATAATAATAATTTAAAAATAACAAAAATAAATTGTTTGATTAGTTGCTTGATGGATTCATATGCCTATAAACAGTTTTTGCAAGCTCATAAATTATTAAAAAAATATTGCAAGCAATAATAATAATAGTAAATACTAGTAGTAGTGGTAATAATAATTATTAAATTGGAACCCTGCAAATTAACAATAAAAATAATAATAACTAATAATAATAATAACAATAACAATACTAGTGATAGTAGTAATAATAATAATAATTTAAAATAATAACAAAAATAAATTGATGGATTAGTTGTTTAATGTATATCTATATACCTACAAATAGTTTATGGAAGCTCATAAATTATTAAAAAATAATTCAAATAATAATAATAATAATACTAATAAGATCTAAAATAATAGTAGTGGTGGTGGTGGTGATGATAGTAATAATAATAATAATAATTTAAAAAAATAACAAAAAGAAATTGCAAATGTGAAAAAAAAATCCTTCAGATGTTCACTTTATATGTTAATGTATATATTCACACAAACAAACAATCTCTCACTTAAATTAAAAACATGATCAACCATTAGGGACTTAACTGCGTGGTGAAAACGACCTTGTATCGAGATATTGTGCCACGCTGGTGACACGCGAGCGCTGAGAAGGATTTTGCGCCTGTTTGGCACATACATAGAGTTGAATCTAGAATCTTCCACACTTCTAAAACATTTGTAAAGATTAAAGAAAATTTTACAAGTGTAGAGAATTATAGAGATTTTTAAATTCTACACTTCTAAGACATTTGTAGTAATACATAAGATTAAAGAAGATTTTACAAGTGTAGAGAATTATAGAGATTTGTAAATTCTACACTTCTAAAACATTTGTAGTGATACGATTAAAGAAGATTTTACAAGCATATGCAATTATAAAGATTTGTAAATATCTATGATATTTTAGTGGAATAACAACGCTTATATAAAGGGTGATAGGCTCATTTCTATGCAACTAGAATATGTGTTATCTAACACATAGTTATTATATTGAGAGCATTTTTGAAATTTTAATAAATAAATATGATTGAGGTAGTGTTATGTATTAGTATTGATATTAATAAATAGTAATACATAAGATTAAAGAACAATTTTTTGGTATAACTTATGTTTGGATAGTAATGCAATTTTGTTGTCCATCATGTAAGCTACCGCTTATATTAAGGGTGATTGCAAAGCCCATTCAAACATTGCTATGGAAAAATAATCTCACATTAAGCTTGTTGTAATGCAATTTTTTTGACGTTTCTTTCTGAACAAAATCATCATTTGGCAAGAATAGTGAATTATGTAAACAATAAAAAAAGAAACATGTTTGGTTTGCACAAAGTAATAAAGATCCAATTCACTATTCTAATTTTTTTAAAGCCTTTAAGTAGAAAAAAAAATTAAAAAATGAGCACATTCTAAAAAAAATAATATTATATTTATTGCCTTATTTATAAGCTATCAATCATTGTATATCTGTGGTTTTTTTTTTTCCCTCCTGTCCAACAACATATATTTATGGTTTTTGATTTGGTCAATCTCTAAGGTTTCAATCATAATAAGAAAGAGATAATCAGGCATTATTAAGAGATGGAAAGTGGGAGTGAGTGATTGGCCAAAATACCTAGGGTTTTTTATTGTGGGAAAGTAAGCATCCAACACCGTTAGAATTATAAAGGTTAATTTTCTGAAAAGAACCAAAAACAAGAAAAAAAAAAGGAGGACATTGAATCCTTTATTGTGCAGCGTCCGTTGCCGAGAGTGAAACAAGAACTTGGAGAAAACGGATCGTGAATACAAAGAGAGAATAAAGAATAAGTTTAAAAGGTTTAGGAGAGATATAAAAAAAATGTATATAATTTTGGAATAAGATGAAATATATTCCTTGTATTTTAGTTGGGAACAGATGGAAACAAAAATTTTTTTTTTTCCATAAAATGGAGGCTTTTGAGAACATGTTTTCAAAATTAAAATTAAAATTACCAAATTTGGTTATGAGACTTATTTTATCGCACTATTTAATGAATATAAAATTCAATTAGTTTATATAAAAATTTTGTAATTAATTAATCCATTTTTTCCATCTAAATTCCTATTTGTTATATGCATTTTTTAGTAGATAGTAAATCACATATTTTTAATAGACTTTTTAATTTTACACCTTATATTATTATTATTATTATTATTTTTTCCTAGTTGATGGTACTCACACACACATCTTTTCAAAGATTTGAACTCCTCATCTTCCCTTGGGAGGTAAGAGATCGATACCGTTAGCCAGCGTTAGGCCACTAACCCGTTTGTATCCATATTCTTATTTCTAAGATATATCTATATGATAGTTAATCACATATTTATTTTTTAAAAATAATTAATCATATATTTACTTTATATGAAATATTATTTTCTCTAAATTTCACAATATTAACAATTTTGATTTATTTTATGTCTTTTTTAAATAAAATTGTCTTGTGGTCTTTTTACCTGTAGTATATGAACAGATGGCATGGAATCAGGAACCGAGTCAGCAACCAATTTTCTAGCCTCTAAGCAGCAACCTTTTTTCTTTTCTTTTTTCCCTTTAACAAAAAAAAAAAAAAAATTATTTTTTATTTTATTTATTTTTTATTATTATTATTTTTTCTCTCTCTCATTGGCTTGGAGCTTTTGTTGCTGCTTAGAGGCTAGAAAATTGGTTGCTGATTTTTTCTGCTCACATTTCTCTTGTGGGCCCACATGATTGGTTAGCTCGTGAAAGTAGTATCTTGTTTTTTAATTTAGTCGTTTAATATAGTATTTATCATTGAATGTGTTGGAATAAACTCTTTCATTACTAATTATGCATAGAGGGTTCATACTATAAATTAACTTCGTAATATTATCATTCTCTTAATGGTCTATCTAATTGGTTCATAAGAATAATAGATCACTTGAAATAGCCTATTGGAGCCAAGAAGAGAATGGGTCTAATAAATCCTCACTCCTAACCCAATAAATCCATACTCCTAGTCTAAGTTTGAAAGTTAAGCAAGAGAGTGAAGAAAGTAAGTGGAGAGTAAGGAGAGGCAGTTGCACCGATAGTTTAATGAATTAGTTTTCCTCTTTGACCTCAAAGTTCTAGACAAACTTCTTACCTCGAAAGAAAAAATAATAATAATAAAAAATAAAAAAAATAATTGGAGAGTAGGGAGTGATATTTATATGTTAGGAACTATATATATATATATATATGTTATAAGGGATCACATCCCTATATCTCTAGGTTTCTTACTTTTTCTTTAAGGTTCCTACAATCCTAAGCTTAGAGAATTTAATATGGGTTTTAGGAGTGACACTCTTGAGGTTATAGAGATCAACGAGAAGAAGGAGCTTCCAAAGAAGAGCTTAGAGAATTCAATAGAGGTTTCATTTGGATTTAGGACTCTACTACGTCTCTTATAGGCTCAATATACTTATATATAACTATATATATATATATATTGTAAAATAGTTCACATTGTTATCATATTCTTGAAAATTTGAACTTTACAAGAACACTCGGTAGCAAGTTGATGACTATATTGGTCTGAGTTTACCTTTGCATCCTTTTACTTCACCAGGTGTAGACAACACACAATTCTACCAGCTTAATGATTTATCACTCGCTAAAAATTGCATTGATCAGTTTTATTATACAATTTTTGCCAACTTAGTTATGTATATTTAATACTATTCAAATCATAAAATGGTAATTTTTAATTTTTTAAATTTTTTATGCTAATCAAATATACAATGAAAAAATTACTTTCATTTCGGCTCCATTTGTTTGTGCATAAATTATTTTCAAAAAATAATTTTTGTGTTTTTGGAGTTTGATTGTCATAAAATATTTATGAAGAAAAAAAAAATTAAACCTAACAAGGAATAAAAATAATTAAAAAAAAATGGAATATGAAGGAAAACAATTTACAAGGATAGAGGGACTGGCAAAATGGTAATCTTTCTATGGTATTTATTTTTTTCCTAAAATTCTATGCTATTTATTTATATACTATTTATAGTCTAGGTGTTTGATGATAAATACTCATAATTAAATTATTTTTTAATTTATTTACTAAAAAAATATTTTTATTTTTAATTTTACAATAATATCCTTTTAATAAAATGTTAGGATATATATATATATCAACTTTGTAAAAGAAATAGTGTAATTACTTTTATAAAAAATAAAATTAACTGATTAAAAAGAATTACTTAAAATATTTAATCTTATTCATTTAAAATTTATTAAAATTAACTCATGAAAAAGAGTTACCTAACATATTCATTTATTTAAATTAATTTAAAAATTTTAGACCTTAAACGGATTCAGGTCATAAACAGATTGACACAATTAACCCGTTTAATTAATCGTGTCGTATTTGGATTGAAGAGTTCAACCTGACCTGTAATACTCGTTTATGATAAAGTCAATGATGATTCACTTGTCAAAAATAACGGTCTTAGTACTAATGATAATATGGAAAAAGAGCAAGAAGATTACTAATCCAAACGGTCAAAAAATCCCATGATATATGCAAAGCCGTTGGAAACAAACTTGGCAATTTGTTATGCCATATCTAAAGGATCACCTATTTATAGAATTAAATAAAGCTTTTTTCTAGGAGATTTTTTTGTATATTACGGACCTCTTTATTGTATAAATTGACATGTCCATACACCTTGCTCGACAATGAAAAAGAGTGAATAAAATTCATTTTTCTATTTATTGCTTTTTCTCATTATTTCTCTATATTTCCTTACAATTTCTTTATGGTATCAGAGCCAATGGCAAGCCTCACTTCTGAAAACAATTCCCATGATGAACCAAAACTCACAATATAAATCTTCCATCAATGTTCTAGCCATGTTTCTATAAAATTAAGTTCTTCTAACTTTCTTGTCTGGAAATCGCAGGTCTTGCCCTTGATTAAAAGTCTTGGGATAGCTCACCATCTTATAGATGATGTACCAGCCAAAGAAATGATCGAAGAAGATGGAAAGAAAGTTTCAAATTCGCAATACATGCAATGGCTCCATAATGACGGACTACTTGTTTCATGGCTCCTGGGCATCCTGACTGAGGACACCCACAGCATGATCATGGGGAGTGAAACATCAAAGCAAATATGGAATAGCTTGGAAGAGCAATTACTTCCAAACACCATAGAACAAGAAGAGAATTTGAAGGATTCCTTGGCTTGCTTGAAGAAAGGATCCTTATCCATTACAGAATATATTAAAAAATTCAAAGCTATATGTGACAACTTTGCATCGATCAACAAGCCGATTCCCGAAACCGAAAAAGTCTTCAAATTGGCTCGCGGGCTTGGTCCTAAATACCAAGATTTTCGAATGGTAATGCTTTCAAAGCCACCATATCCTTCATTTACTCAATTTGTTCTCTCTTTACAAAATCATGAGCAAATGATAACTGAACAACGTGAAGAAGAGAAGCGAATTGTAGATCATGCACAAGCCTTCTTTGGACAAAGAGGGTGAGGAAGAAACAACAGAGGGGGACGTTTTAATCACAGAGGGAGAGGGTTCGCTCAAGCATATCGATCAAACAACCAGAACTTTTATCCCTCTCAAAACTATTCAGGAAATCAAGGCAATGGCAAATCAAACAATGGTTGGAAAAACTTCGTTGGTAATGGACGAAGCAACACCAACAAATAAGATGAAGAAGAAGTCAAATGCCAAATATGTGGAAGAACCAACCATACTGCCATTAAATGCTTTTACAGGTATGACTATGCTCAACAAGAAGATGAGATGCCTAAAAGTTTTGCGGCTCTATCTCTACAAGAAACTGACCCAAGTTTCTATGTGGATTCTGGAGCAACAACACATATGACAAATGATGTTGGTAAGCTTTCTTCAGTACATACTTATAATGGACATGATGCTATTTATGTAGGAAATGGAAATAAATTATCCATCTCACACACTGGTAATGCCTCTTTAAAAACCCCTTATGGAAATTTAAATTTAAAAAATGTCCTTGTAGTTCCTAAGCTTAAGAAAAATCTACTATCTATTAGTCAATTTACTGAAGATAATCCTTGTAGTATTGAATTCAATGCTAATGGTTTTGTGATAAAGGATCAAAGTCAAAGGACACTAGCGAAGGGGCATAAAAGAGGACAATTATATGCTCTTGAAGAAGCAAAATTGGAAGCACTTGCAGCAGTCAAATCTCCTTCAGCTTCTTCGGATTTGTGGCATCAACGAATGGGGCACCCCTATTCAAAATTTTTACAAGTTCTCAATAAAAAGGACGTGCTAAGCATTTCTAGTTGGCTAAATAAACATTTTATTTGTACTAGTTGTCAATTAGGAAAGCGCTGCAAACTTTCATTTCATGATAGTAATAAGTTGTGCCAATTTCCTTTAGAAAAAATACATTGTGATTTATGGGGGCTAGCTCCTATTTCTTCTATTCAAAATTTTCGCTATTATGTTATTTTTATTGATGATTGCACTGGATATACTTGGTTATATCCTCTTAAACACAATTCTAATTTTTATGAAAGTTTCTTAAAATTTCAAAAACTTGTTGAGAATCAATTTGATAGGAAAATCAAAAATTTTCAAAGTGATGGAGGGGGTGAGTTCACTTCCACACTATTCACTAACCATCTTGCTCTTTGTGGTATAGCTCAACAATTGTCATGTTCAGGCACACCTAAACAAAATGGAATTGCGGAAAGAAATCATGGACATATTGTGGAAACTGGTCTCACCATGATTTTTCATGCAAATCTACCACTAAGGTTTTGGGTAGATGCCTTTCTTATAGCAACATATTTAATAAACCGTCTCCCATCATCTTCTCTAAATATGGAGACACCATATTTTAAATTGTTCAGCAGACATCCCGATTATAGTATTTTAAAGGTCCTTGGCTGTAAATGTTTTCCTTATTTAAGGCACCAAAATCAAAATAAATTTTCTAAAAGAACCTTTCCATGTGTCTTTATTGGATATAGTCCTCTTCACAAAGGATACAAATGCATTGATCCTTTAACAAATAAAGTTTATATATCTAGACATGTGGTTTTTGATGAACAAATATTTCCGTATTCTCACAAAGTTTCAAGTGGTGATATTCCACAGCTTGTAGTGACAAATTTTCCAGATCAAGAAGAGTGGTTTTCTAAGTCAAGCAATCATCATTCTCATCAAAACTTGGCTAACGAAAACACGCAAGCTAACAACTCATGCGGTACCCAAGTTGATTGTTGCAATGAGCTAGATGACAACACCTCAATTGATCCAGTTAGTCACAATTTGGGACAAAATGACCTTCATAGCTCACACCTTGAAGTCTCTCAAGATGACGACAACAATGTTTCTCATGGAATACGAGACTCATCTACAGCTCCCTCTATTATAGATCAAAATGTAACTCATCTTCAAACTTCTCGTCCAACTCGTGTGCGCTAACCACCAGCTTATTTGAAGGATTATATATACCCCACCACTAGCTCGTCCAGTCGTAAAGACGTTGCTCTCCTTACTAATCTTGCTCAAGAACCGAAGTCTCTTAAAACTGCTATTAAATCACCATATTGGTTTGCTACGATGCAAGAAGAGCTTTTAGCCCTTTATTCCAACAACACTTGGCGTCTTGTTCCTCGACCTTCCAACACCAATATCATTGATTCTAAATGGGTCTACTGCATTAAATACAAGGAAGATTGCTCGATCGATCGATACAAGGCATGATTTGTTGCAAGGGGTTTCACTCAAGTTCCCGGGCTAGACTATGACGAAACTTTTAGCCCTGTAGTTAAACCCACAACCACTCGCATCATCCTTTCTCTAACAGTTGTCTCACGTTGGACCATCAAACAACTTGACGTCAAAAATGCTTTCTTACATTGTTTCCTCAAAGAAATTGTGTCCATAGAACAACCACCAAGTTTTGTCAATCCAACTTTTCCCAATCATGTTTGCTTATTGAATAAATCCCTTTACGGTTTAAAACAAGTACCTCGTGCCTGGTTTGAGCGTTTATCTCATTGTCTTTTTACACTTGGTTTTTCTTGTAGCAAAGCAGATTCCTCTTTGTTTATTTACAAGAAAAACAATAACCTTTTGTTATTGCTTATCTATGTTGATGATGTTATTGTAACAGGAAGCAATGATACTCTTATTCAGCAAATCATTCATAAACTTGGATGTGAATTTTCTCTCAAAGATCTTGGCACCTTACATTACTTTTTGGGTATTGAAGTCAAGCTTTTTGCTGGTGGCCTATTCCTCTCACAAACAAAATACACCAAAGATCTTCTCTCCCGTACTCATATGCTAGACTCATCCCATCAATCTACTCCAATTGCCGTTAAACCACCCCACCAACCAGATGATCACAACTTGGTCAATGAAACTGAATTTCGAAGCATTGTTGGCGCACTTCAATATCTCACTTTTACTCGCCCTGATATCACTCATGCAGTGAATAAAGTTTGCCAACATTTTCATCAACCGACCCTTGCCAATCTTAGAGCTGTCAAACGAATCATTCGATATCTCAAAGGCACTATAACTTATGGCATTCGCTTTTTATCTCAAAGCTCTCTCACTTTAAATGGTTTTTGTGATGCAGATTGGGCAGGTTGTCTTCTCACTTGTCAAAGCACCACCGGCTACTGTATTTTTCTTGGCTCCAATTGTGTGTCATGGTCTTCAAATAAACAACCAACCGTTGCCCGTTCAAGTGCCGAAGCTGAATATCGTGCACTTGCTATCACTACTGCTGAATTAACATGGATCGGGTTTTTATTATGCGACCTGGGGATTCCTCTAGTTCAACCACCTCAGCTCTTCTGCGATAATATCAGTGCCCTTCACATGACAAAAAATCCTGTTTTCCATGCTCGGACCAAACATATTGAACTAGATTACCATTTTGTTTGAGAAAAAGTTACGCGTGGAGATCTTGTCACCAAATATATTCCTTCACCACTGCAAATTGCAGATGCCTTAACTAAGGCTCTTCCAAAGTCATCTTTCAAAACTTTTCGAATCAAGCTGAGAGTTCATCTTCTTCCACTTCCCAGCTTGAGGGGGCTTGATAAAGTCAATGATGATTCACTTATCAAAAATAAAGATCCTAGTACTAATGACAATATGGAGAAGGAGCAAGAAGATTACTACTCCAAACGGTCAAAATATCCCATGATATATGCAAAACCGTTGGAAACAAACTTGGCAATTTGTTATGCCATATCTAAAGGATCACCTATTTATAGAATTAAATAAAGCTTTTTTCTAGGAGATTTTTTTGTATATTACGGACCTCTTTATTGTATAAATTGACATGTCCATAAACCTTGCTCGACAATGAAAAAGAGTGAATAAAATTCATTTTTCTATTCATTACTTTTTCTCATTCTTTCTCTATATTTCCTTACAATTTCTTTAGTTTATACACAATTAACTATATATGTTGTGAATAAATTTTTATTTAAGTTCTAAAATATGTAAACTTGTGTCTTATAATTTAATTTTTTGTACACTAGAAATTATTTAGTAATTTGGTTGATTAAAATTTATCTATTTGTTTAGTATTTATTATTTTATTGAGTATTATTAATAATTTAAATAATATAATTTTTTTTTAAATAGGTCATTAAACGGGTTGCACGTGTAACCCGTTTAATAAACAAATCGGATTAGTATTGAGGGTTCTTGACAAGATTATTAAACGGATCGTGTCCAAGTTGAACTGTTTAGTATACTACCTTTAAATTAACACGACACGATTACGGCCCGCGAATGCGAATGCAAATTGCCACCCTTATGGTAGGTCGCAGACCTGGGATCGTCATTTTGACTACTCATCCAACTCCCTGATCTAAAGTTCCTAAAAATTTGTTATCCAGGATCATTTGAGACAATTTCTTCTCAACATGGTCTACAGGCAATTGGATCAGGTCGGCCAGATAAGCAATCTCGACCATCGAGAAAGGCTCGATCAACCTGCAAAGATTCTGCTCCAATAGTGTGTCATACAGGGAAGAGAGATGCATAGGGTCTTCCTCTAGTTGGGGCCTGAAATTCTGAAGACAAATTTCAAAGAGCTTCAGAGACCGTTTTGAATAAGCATCGGCTACAGCTCTCATAGAAATAACTGTAAGCAATTTTGTAATCCTTCTCTTCTGCATGGAGGATCCCACTCTGCAAATCAATAACACCGAAGGGTGGATTCAGAAATTGTCAATGGGGTGCGCTAAAATTATAAATTTAATAACACAATTTCTTAAGCAAATTTTTTTATAACATAATCTAGATAAATATTTGAATTCAAATATTACAAAATATCTATCTAAGTTGTGCTCAACGTGTCTTTAAAGACTCGAATTTGTCGATAATAGGCTCGAAGTCAATTTTTCAAACAAGGCAATTCATCTCCCATCGTGCTATGTTTTAACACGTTTCATATTTTGTTTTTTTGGTTTTAAAGATTGAATTATTGTAATTTTTGTTTGTGGTTTTATTTTATAATTTTTTTTGGTTTTAAAGATTGAATTATTGTAATTTTTGTTTGTGGTTTTATTTTATAAATTAATTTGAAATTCTAACACTTACTAATCTAGATTTGTTTTATCTAAATCTTTAGTAAGTTAGCAACCTTTGATTTGTGAATTATTGGATTTAGATGTTTTCTTTTATACTAATAATTCTTATCTACTAGAGATCAAAATCATCAAATTTTCGTAGTTTATAATGCCATAATTTTTTTTGTTTGTTTGTTGAATACTTTCTAGATAAACAAAGGAGCTCTGCTTATTTTTCATGATGATTTGAAAGTGTTAAAATTATGAATTTATGCTATATATATAATTTCAGAGCTACCTCTACAACAATTTTATCTCAAAATATGTTTTACTTCATATCCTAATACTCATCCTTAATAGGGATTGTTAGGCTTGGGCCTTTATTTTAGTATTGTGGCTTAGTTGATTTGGGCTTATTTGGGTGGGCTAATATTAATAATAAATTTTTTTTTTTTGGGCTGGGCTAAAAATACCCATAGTAAATTTTTTTTTTTTTTTGGGGTAGGCTGGAGCCCAGCTCAGCCCTACGCTGGATCCGCCAGTGAATTAACGCCCTGCTGAGCTGGAGGCACATAAACAGCATTTGCAGCTGTTCTTGCTGCGGTGAGTGCAGCCTTGGCTTTCGGAAGGTTTCTCAGAGACAAGTGGCGCCATTTCTCGTAGTACTGGGTGTCTAGAGCCATAGTACCTTACTTTACTTTTAAGTTTTAATATGAATGCTGCTGACTTGCTCTCTGCAATAGTTATAGATGCCATACAAATCCAGTAATCCTACATTCCGTGATCTGCAGTTGCTCACATTCTCATTGAATTTCCCCATTATCTGCCATTTTTGTATAAATCTATATAATTTTTCTCTGATTTATCCTTTGTACCATGCTCAGATGAGTATACTTACAACGCTTGGAAGAACATTATATTACTGATTAGGTGTCACATAAAATCCAATAAATGCCATTAATTGAACCTCAACTATAAAATTTGACACATTTTAATGGACAAAACAGCTGGAAGTATGTCTAGGATTCATGCTTGAAACCTTTTTTTTTTTTGGTTTGTGGTACACATTTGAAGTGCTTGTCTCCGGCCGTCAACCAAAAGGTATGTGCACGTAGAAGATCGAAGAGTCCGGCAGCATTCAAGTTTAGTTCAGTAAAGTGACTTTCAACTCAATTCCATTAAACTTCCTCTTTTATATACTTTTTAAACCTTTTTTTTTCCTCAGTAATTTTTTTTTTAACTTAATTTCATGCTCAGGGAAGAAAAACACCATTGAGGAACCGACGTTTATTTTCCTTAATAACCTTGCTGGACATTCTATAGTAAGTGTTGCACACAGCACCTTTGTGGAGTGATATTGAACTATTTCTCGCCAAACATTTACGTTGGTGATATAATACAAAGAGTGATGATCAGTATTCATTATTCATAAGGATTACATTACTTATTTTGTTTACCAGGACGTAAAATTCATTTCCGTAAATGATATTCTTCTCATTTGAATGATACTTTTAGTTGCCGCTAAAGAGTTAGAAATGTTAAGAGCTAGCCAAAATTAATTGGAGAGTCATTTGAAAATTTTAGCAATTATAACTGCATCAGTTTTTTGCATGATCTTTACAGGGTGAGCTGTTAGAGGAACTTTTTGCACTTCTGGAGATGGTAAAGCTTCTAAGATGTAAACGAAGAAGTTATGGACGGACTTAGTAATGTTTATCAGTTCCTCTTGTTGGTGTCGATTATCTGTAGTATATATATACAGGGTAAGTTGCTCTTTTTCACAGTGGTGCTACTGAAGCTACATGACTCTTGTTTAAATCGCACGTCAAGTGAGAAACTGTGATGTAGGTCAGGATGATGACCAATGAAAACTCAAATATTGAAACTCTGCGATCTATTATGCAATGTAAAAAGGAATGGAAATGGAAATTATGAGAAATCTCGAGAATATTGTACAGTTGAAGAACTAATATACAGATTGTGGAGTTGGGATACTATGCGGTACAGTTGTGATCACATGTGAGTGATAGAATTCGTGTGATATGGTACAACACCTGTACTGTACATGAATTCAATTCCATTCCATTCCTACTAGCATCGTTTTTTTGTTAGGCATGTGTGGTAGAACAAGTAGTATCTCTGCCTATAATTTGAGGCGGGAAAGAAATGAGCTTTCCTAGGTCTGAAAACTCATGGTCATAATGTAGATAGATATGATAAAAATATACGGAAAATTTATGTCTTGGATTCGTACGAGCAAGATGATGTAGCAGGGCCACATGCAAGAAATTCCAACCATGTCTAAAGTAAAAAAATGATCCAGTACAAGAGATGAAGGCAGCCCAGAGATCAGCTTAAACATAAGCCTCTCTAGTATATGAATATATATATATATATATATCAGAGCCATGATGGCTTAACTTTTAATTGTTAATGCTTATTAGGTACTGGTAGCATGATTATTATCTTAATTATGTCATGAACAATATGACTATTATTCTGTCTAACTTATGTTTATCCCAGATTCAATTATGGGTCGTCCAAAAGTCGTGTTGGAATATAAAAGCCCGCTTTTTGCATTAAATTGCTGCACAGGGTATTGTTTCCAGTAAATCGTTGACAGACGAGTAATAGAATTTCTTTTAAGCAGAACGACGACAGAATAGTAACTTACTGTTCATTATATAATATTATAATATTTATACTATGCAGACCTTAAAGCATTAACAATAATTAACAGACATGTTAAAACCATCTTCTTCCTCCTCTTCAGGAGTACAGGAAAACCAGGATTCAGAATTGGTAAAAAATACTGAATTAGTGGAATGGACCAATGTTCAAAATAAATTGAACAGATGGACTATCCCTCCAGTAAGTGCTAAGAGCATTTACAAAATCGGAATGCTTAATTTAACTGATCTATGGACTGTCAAGACCATAGAACAGACCATGCAATTAAGCACTAAGGATACAATAATTAAGTTATTGTCTTCCCGTAACCTTCAGAGGCACATGCACAAATATAAGTACATCCATATAGGTTTAATTCAAATTGCTTTTAAACCTTTAACCTTGTTAGGTATGGATGCTTGTATTCAGGCAACCCTTCGGGATGCTCGATGTCTGAAATTTCACCCTTCCTTAATGGGTGCACTGGAAACCAGTCTATATCATGCACCGGTTTATTTTAATGTCTATCCTAGTCTGAATTTATCTTTAACAGATAAAAATATCCATGAGGCCGTCAGTCTTCGTGTTCAGACCTATGGGTATGATTATTTACCTGGATCGGAAGTGATAAGTGTTATTTATCGCATCCATTACAAAGTACTTGATACTATGTGTCCAAATGCCATACGCAAAGACTCTAAAGGAGTGACAGCGTTATGGGACACCAATATGTACACATCAAATGTTGCCACAAAAAGGATGATTCCTTGGAGTGAAATAACATTTCCTGAACATTGGACGATTTCCAACGCAGTTCCGGCAAAGCCAATTGCTAATCATAGCTTGGACTGTGTTATTTAGGACCAAGATGGTGATGTTTTTCTGAATTTCAGAAAATCAATAGATCTACCTAGATCTACATCATCTAAAGGAAGTCATCTTCCTTATCATGTTTCTTGTCCTCCTTCTCGCCATTCGATTTCGTCGGATTACAGAAAGGACGATCTCCCTGAAGTCGTGGTTCAAATCAACTCAAGCTGAAAGGAATACAGCAATCTCAGAATCAAATTCCAAGAGGAGTCTACGAGAAAGCACCAATAGGTATGTCTCGTCGCCAATTTGGAATTGAATTCAACCCAACTCCATCTGAAATGGGAATCGGAAATGAATCTGTCAAGGATCAATTTGATGATCCTACAGACATCAATGACCCTCATGAATATTAGTTTTAATGAATTTTGTCCCAGATAGAATTGCCATTAATACTGAATTTCAACAGGATCAATATAAAGAATTCAGAAATTGGTATTTTAAAGCTTTTGACCAAAATCAATTACAGCTTTTTAAAACTCAATTTTATGATTTTCTACAAGAATGCAAAATGGTTATACCTTTTGTTTCTTGGTTCTTTATGTCCAATCATTCTCTTGTTAATATAAACATACGGGATGATTTTCTCAAAACATGGACCACATCTGAAGATAAGGTTTATCACTCTGTCCATCCTCCCACTGAACATCTAATTCTGAAAAGGATTGACCCTGACAGTGGTGCCAAAGTGGAAGCCAAGGCTTATAGCCAACCTAAAATAATTGATCCATCCTGTACTGCTACTAAGAAAGACATTTCTCATGTTTACAGGCAGAACAATATACGAGTGTTTGTTTGCAAACGATAGGATCTCAGCTTGGGAGAATTGAAACAGGAATAGACACAGTATTAAATACAATTAATACTAAGTGTATTACTGATAAGATTTCTCCTCCTGAAGCTTCTTTATCCAAAGCATTGGTCAAACCTGCAATTGAAGTTAAAGGCTTCAATCTTTCACATCCTAAGAAGAATGAAGAATTCCTTACTCTTCTTACTCAGAAAATTCAAGGACTTAAAATTCAGACTTTATCCCATGATCAATCTGAAATAGGTTCTGATTCTGATGATATGTTATCTCATATTGAGGTCTTCCAAACTGATTTTCCTCAGATACCTGAGTTAAATAGAATTGTCTATGATAAGAATATCCACTCAAATACAGCCCCTACTCCGAGTAGATATTATTATCCCAGACCCACACCTCAAGATATCTTGTATGAAGAAGATTATTTTCATACACAGAAATCTTTTCATGGCAAGACCATTTATGAATGGAACATAGATGGGAAATCTGATTATCAGATTTACGAGGTTATTCATCAAATGTTGATGTATAGCCAAGTTTGTAAAATCAACAATAATACTGAACCAACCATTGCTAAATTTGTCGTTGCTGGTTTTACAGGCATCCTTAAAGGATGGTGGGATAATGTTCTCACCGACATTCAGAAAGCTGAAATCTTTTCTGCTACCAAGATAGTTAAAGATGAAGCTACCCAACAACCCGGATCTGCTCCAGATGCGGTTTACACCCTCATCACCACTATTATCCAACATTTTGTTGGCCCCGAATGCGCTAATAGTGAATGGAGTCGTGAACTTCTACAGAATCTAAGATGTCCATCTTTAACTCATTTCCGGTGGTACAAAGATGTATTCTTGGCAAAGATTCTCCAACTTAATGATGCAAATCATGAGCACTGGAAAGCCAAATTTGTAGATGGTTTACCAACCTTCTTTGCTGAAAGAATCAGGAAAAAGCTTAGAGATATGAATAATGGTATCTCTATCCCTTACAGAAACTATACCTATGGTGGATTAGTCAACATTGTAATCCAGGAAGGTCTTGTTCTCTGTAATGATCTGAAGTTACAATCCCAGTTAAAAGCACAAAGATTAACTGGTAGGAAGGAAGTAGGTGAATTTTGTGATCAATTTGCCTACCAGACTCCCTTATCTTATCCTAAACCTAGGAAAAGAAATAAGGTTGAAAAACCTTATAAAAGGAAGTATTCCAAAAGAAAGAATTATTCAAAGGAAAAGGATAATTCTAGACAGTATACTAAGCCTAAAAGGAAATATATTCCTAAAGCAAAAGGTAAAGGAAAGCCCAAAGTTGAGGCTAAATGTTTCAAATGTG